CGACCGCCTACTCGCCAACCACTGTACTAGATAAGAGAGTGAAATTGGTATTTAAGTAGGAACATTTTTGGTAATAAACACGTATTGAATCCACTTTAATCAAGAGTTTTCATTTGCGATCCAGATCAAGAACCTGAACAATACAGTCCACCGAACAAGAGCTAGAACACCAACAAAAGTATTTGTGTTAAATAAATCATTTCACTGCCACTGCACGCATGTGTAAAGATAGCAATCACATAATTACCATTTAATTACAGTATTGTGTACCGTTTTTCGTAATGTGCTATTCTACTTAGTGTGTTAATTTACATTTTTATATGTGACATTGGTTAAATATGAATAAAACCACATATCCGTAAATACCTACTACTATTTCCTTATAACAAATAGTTTTTAATTAAATTGTAGTTGTAACGGAAAGAAAAAAAAAATTTGGTCTCATTTCCTTATGACAAATTCAAATTAAATCTAAATTACTGAACATTAAGATCCAAAATGATCTCTCCACTCAGCACTTGTACGGTTGTGCATGTAACAAAAGAAGCAAAAAAAAAGCAAAAAAACGATATTGATATTCTGTAGTGGTTGAGGAATGAAGCGGAAGCTACAGATGATCAACAACATAATTTTAAAACGGCAAACAAACACCGGAGAATATACATAACATTCGAAATTGCGTTATGGACACGATGAAAAAGGTTTTTGATATGCAATACAGTACAAATTAATAATAATAACAAATGTGTCAAATGGATAATGGAGAAATGTGATTCAGTTGCTGGCGACTATGACGTCATGCCTTTGCTGATATTTTGCTATAGCCAAAAATGCTTAGGACTCACCGAAAAGTAACAAACGCTCGCAGACCTTAGCAAAAACAACAATTAAAATACAAACAGCTTAGTTGGTATAGCGTTCTGGCACGGTATGCTAGAAGACGTCGGTTCGAATCCGGCCGGATCGAAGGAATTTTTTCTCAGTGTTCGATCTTTGTAATAATTATAACAAACTAGTGGAGTAATTTCACAAAAAATAATTGAATATCAGTTAAAATTAAAATACAGTTGAAAATCGATACAAATCCCAGAACAGCACAACACAAGGCTTTATAGCCTCCGATGAATAGAACGCTGGCAGCCATTCCGCCAAAGAATAAGCCTAGGTATCCAAAGTCTTATCCAAAGATAAAGCGTGGCCCCAAGAATATGCAGGGTTACGTGTAAATTATTAAAAACCTCGCAAGACTAACATCATAAGCAACAACTTTTGTTACATGACTCTTTACAAAACGAAATAAATTCACCAAAATTAAACTTATAAGTTTTTGCTGTAGTATCTGACACTTTTTAGATCTATATTTGATAGTAAGGTAGTAAATTCAAACTTGCAATCGTCCTCCCGAAGGCTCCCACGTTTTAGATTTTTGCATCAGACTGATGCAAAATTGACGATTGCGCTTTCTTTTGTTACCGCATAGAGTTACCACCGTTAAGAAAGTTCTATTTAAATATTTTTATTTTTATACGAAAGTAAAACCTAACGAGTTATCAACAATTATTGGATTAATTTAGCTAAGCTCTTTAGCTTAGCTAAATTTGTTTTGTTCTTTAACAACGTAGACATTCCCTTCTACAAATCCCGCAACTTCGTGGAACTGATTATATTTGTATATTAGTATTATTGTAGCCTTTATTATAGCCAGTTCTTTGACCTCTTTATAGCTGTTCACTGTCTTCTTTTTTATTCTTGGTCTTCCTCTCTTTCTTTTCCCTTCTGTCCTCCCATCAATTATCATTCTCACAAATTCGTTATTACGCATCAAATGTCCAAACATTTTCCCCCTTCTCCTGTCTGTTGCATTCAAAAGACTTCTCGCCAACCCTTTCCAAAACTTCCTCATTTGATGTCTTTTCAATCCATTTTATTTTTTCTATTAAGTATTTGCTAAAAATTATTGTCTCAAAAATAATATTGTAGTTATGTTTCTATAAGTAATCAAATCTGTGGTCACCTTATGTATACACATTTTCCGTAACGTAATGTCATAAAACCAATCGAAGCCTCCACTATGCCAACTGTATTTTTGGTCATTGTTTTTTTTATTTTTGTAAACAGCCATATTTATTTACTAATATTATAAAATTATAATATTATGCTCCCCGAATTTAGTGAAAAATAAATAATTAAATTTGAAAAAAAAAAAGGATTTTCGTGGAAAAAAAAGAAACCAGAACAAAATTAATACAGAACTGGTCCAACAGTTAAGTAGGCGTAGTGTTAGTTGGAGGATTGATCGAAATCATAGTTTAAATCAACAAGTGTGCCCAAACATTGTGTCCAATCCAGACATGTAACGTTTAAAGTGCTCCCTACAACGTTGTGTATTCACACATAAACGTGTAATTTTAATAATGACGGCGCGAGTTTGCGGCGCGTGCTGCTCGGATAGAGGTAACGGGACCCTCGTCCTGCGACCGGTCTGCTCTCGATATTGTTCCCAGAAATACTCTGCCTGTGAATTGTATCTATAGGTAGTTATTGAGTATTGAATCGGCTCACACAAGGTGCAACCTTTACCGCCTTCTAAGATGCTTCATCCTGAACATTGCCAGGGTAGATTTAAGTGTTTAATCATGCTCCGAACTGAGGTTGGCTGGGCCAAGGATAATTTGTTCAGGTGGGGATTTTAGGTGAAGCCGAATTGTTCGTGTAGTGCGATTGAAATGACGGCCTACGTTACATGCCTTACTTAACACTTGCACGCTTGAAGATTTAATGGCGGCTTCTAGTGACGCTGTCGGCGTGGCTAAGCTCTGGGCTGCAATAGTTTAGTGTATACCGTCGGTACGTTTAGACACGGAATGTATTTTGTATTCATCAGGGATAGAAAGTGCTTTATACCGTTCTTAATAACCACAACCTTTTAAAATTGATCAATGCCATCTAGTGGATATAAAGTGCATGTTTCTTCAAGGACATTCATAAATACAAAGTTCGTTTTACTTTTCCGTAATAACGACACGAACCACTACACTTCTTTAGCAAGTAATTTTAGAGACGAAGTTTTCCAACGGCGTCCAACTGTGAAGTACAAAAGTAATTATTCTACCGATTCTTAACTTATTTTAAAATATGTATATGTATGTAGAAGGATTACCGTCATACAAAAGTTGAAACCACACTCATATCTTCAGATAAACGCACATGTTTATATGCTCCCAAAATCCGTTTTACTTATGGCTTCTTTTGTCGATATATCCAAATAGAAGATACCGCAAGGGAACAAGACGAGGGTGGGACCCTCTCCCTCCTTCGCCTGTACAGCGTGGGCGTTCAAATTACGCCATAAGTTTGTCACGAACTCCGAAGTGAATATTTCATTTAAATGTTACTCAAAAATGTAAATACTCAATATTTTTGTATCTTATCGGTGTTGTTTATTGAAAGTTCGTCGCAGTCCATACAAGTTTGTAATAAGATTATTCTAATCATATAGTGTGAATCACAATTATATGTCCAAAATGTGAACAAAGAAATGACATTGTCAAAATGTGCATGCAGGTGTGCTAAACCTTTCATATTTGCTCGGTTATCTCCTTTGTTTAGATTTTGAATATCTAAACAAGTTTCATACTATAGATAGTGCATTGTTTTATATTTCTTTACTTTGCTTCTCGAGAGTATTGAAAGCGAAGTACCTCCTTTCAAATTATCGTAATAAATATAAATAATTTACCATTTTAACGGAACAAACTAATTTACATAGTCCATTTCGTAATTTTCTGATGTATATAATTAGTATACTTCAAAATTGTTTACGTCCATTAGTGCTGTGTGGGACGAATTTGAACCAATGAAAACGTGTTTTTTTAAATATATTGATTATATATCTATTATTACGGTGGCAGACCAGTGGGTCGTTTGCTTCCCAATTGAGAGGGTGTTGGCTTATTTGTACGTTTGGGAACCTATGATCTAGATCATTTTCATTCTTATTTCTGCCGTCATATCTATTACTGTGATTCAGGGTGCTGGTAAAATTACAGCTTTATATCTCAGGGTGACAGGTGTAGTTTCAATGCACCTCAGATCTTTGCGATTCAAAGCTTTGAGTGGCACTGCAACCGTTATTTGTCAGTGCCACCGCGCATGACTTACTAAAATAAAAAAACACTTACGCGTTGAAATTGTGACATTGATAATAGATAAATATATAAAAGAATGTTGTATATAGTATCTTCCCGGTGTGTCGTTCATTTCAAGTCCTGTTAGGGCAAAATACGCTCTATTTGTTTAGCTTTTACGTTTTAACTTAAATGAGCGTTCTGGGCACGCGGGCGAGACTGGCTCGAATTCGGTCTACGCGGCGGCCCGCGCGACGACCGCGCGGTCGCCGAACGGAGTCCGTGGCGGCCCGCGCGGTATTTTATTCAGAGGAATTTAAATGTTGTTGCCTAGTAAATAGAATTCATATTCGCCATTAATGTACATGAAGGCGTGGTAACTTAGCGGACGCCGCGCGGCGGCCGCGTGAAAAATTTCTCCTTGTGCAACTGGATGTTTCATCTTTTTATACACCAATCTACGACGTAACTAAGTTATACAGCTGGCTGTGTTAAATAGGGTTCGAACCCGGAGCGTGCTCATGTAACACCGTGTGGGTTACACTCTCGACCAATCAACCCAACAAATTAGTAGCAGTAAAGCTCCTTGTGAAAAAGTTCGTTCAGGGAAATACTGTCACTTTTTCTGCCGCCAAGCAGTAATATCAGCATTACTGCGTTTCGATTTCGAAGGGTATGAAATTACAGGCACACGGGACTTGTCAACTATATGTCTCGTGGTGACGGGCGCAGTGGCAGTGCCCCTCAGATCTTTGCGTTTTAAAGCTCTGAGTGGCACTGCAACTGTTATGAACATTCGTGTTGCCTACCAGGCCTTGTTCAATAGTTGTAATGCATTATTTTGGCCAAGTTTCCTTAACCTTAGCCGAACAGTTACGTCATCACGGAGCTACTACAAAGCGACCTGCACAAGATCATCGTTTCACCGCAGCACCTCTCCGCCGATCACATCAAAGTCTTCCTCTATCAGATTCTCAGAGGTGAGTCCTTAATTAATTTTTTAATACGCTGTTTTTTAGTAGAAACGAGAATATACATGAGTGGTGCTGGTATAATAAATCGTGAATCTATTGTTCCTTATTTCACACGATGTGCATAAACTTCTAACTTAACGTACATTATGGAATCAGCAGTTTAACGATATCGTACTGTCGGTAATAAACTGATTTAATTCAAAATTGTGATATTTTTGGGAAGTTTATTTATTATATTAATTAGAAAAAATAAATATTTTTTGTATATAATTTTGTATAAAACCGCGTAAATGTTTGTGTGTGTTAGATTCCAAACAATACTTTCATTTCCTATGTGTAATAATCGCGAAAACCTAATAACTCGATAGTATATATCGTTTTTCATATTAAATAAAATTTTATCATATTTATCACCGGCGTATACATAATTATATGGGCTGGTGCCACAGACGTTGTTTTTTTTGTTGATATGTTGTGTCATAATCCCAAAAGTTGCTTTTCGAATTAGATCATTTTATTATTGAGGATGCTTTTAATTAAGGAATCAAAACAACATTTTATGAATCTTCAAAAGGCGTAAAATGAAAGTCTTTTTTTGTGATAGAAATGCCTTATGAGAAGTTTGCGAGTCAATAAAATAAAACCATGTGTAGTTAAATACGAAGTCGGCTTTTTACGGGGCCGTATTTGCATAAATTTAACAACTTAACCTCGAGCTCCATTTTAAAATGACGTTGGAGTTCTAATTTTGAAATAAGTATGCAAGCCATGATATCTAAGATGAAGACTAGACGAAGGGTAACCCTCGATACAAACCTCTGACGTTAACGTTATCGATCACAATTTAGCCTCTCAACTTTTATATTCTCCGTATTGCAAAACGTGACATGAAACGCAAGACGCCCTTCAAACTTACCGACGTATTGTACATTGTATATCGTTCTCACGGATTTCGCCTACGCGAGAGAATACGCATTTTATGGCCAAACTAATGCTTCATATAATAGCGTGTACCTTAATGGATACCTCGCTCACAAACTGGCAAACTTTTTCCCATTAGGTACGCGCAATCTTGTTTACATTACACTACGTTTATCATGTTAATGTGTTGTCCTTACATTAAAATTAATATATGCGATGTTTTTTGAGGGAATATGCAAATTTGTGGTCATACATCCCTAAATGTAGTGCCGACGGGCGGACTGGGGGGCGCCACAAAACTTGAGCCCATTTGCCGCTCGGTAAACAGAGTGTAAGACCGGTCGGTGCCCGTGAGGTTTGCCGTGTTCCGATAAATTCGAGTTTGAAACAAGCCGGACTCCCACTGCGCGCGGCCAGTCGAGCCGGAGCCGCACCGCCACTGCCTGCACTAAATCAATTAAAATTCCCTACTGCCCGTAATTCTCTACTACAACTCTACCAGAAAACCTAGTACATTGCTCTCGCCTTCACAAAGGAATAAATTTAATAAAGGATGACTAATCTGGTTTCATTAAAGTTGATCATCAAACTTAGGGTGGCACTATGTAGTATGCTAATGGACTCCATTTCGCAGATGAAAAGACGCGTCGGCTCCCGATTTGGTATTATTAATTTATGCAATTACTCTTGCACTGTCAGAAGATTTCCCCGGGAGCGGTGTACCCGAAGGGATGCTAGAAAAATGCGCTCGTTAAGCCCCCGAAGGATCTGAGTTTAATTAAAAACTTTATAGTTGCGCCGCTTTGATGGCAAAGCGCTATAAAATTCACATAGATTAAATTTAGTATACCTTACTTTACTGCTTTGAAAGAAGTAAGAAATAGTTTGTGGAACCCAATTGTTTATTTTTACCACTTTACATATTGAAGTTAAAGTAGCATACAAATAAGACAGCTTTTAGGGTACTCTTAATATCTGAATATTTTATGTCAAAGTGGTGTAAAAACATACGGAAAAGAACATTGTAATTGAAGCATGCATTTGCCTGCTCTGCACACAGCTGTACTCTTTTCTAACAAGCTCTGTAAACTGATTTCGAGTGGCGTCTAGCTTCACTTTAGTTGCTTATAAGTTTATGATAATGCAAACTATTAAAGGACAAAGTCGGTTATGCGGAAAATGTAAACAAGGTTTTACCGGGATTCCTTAGTCTAACAGCGTCTGAGGATTCTAAGGAATTCTTGTTTGCGCCGCCACCGCATATATTAGACCACGTGCGCTTCGGTTTAGTGTCTCAAACGTTCGTAGAAATAGTCCCAGTATATCCAGTAAATTCAGTGACGTTTGCAAAGTTTCATTAAATTCTTGAACATCACGGTCGATATGAGATTCATTATGTGAAATGACAGTTATTTTCTTTCATGGGTCACTTGGGATGAAAACGGCGTACTTTATTTTCAAACAATGCAGCCCAAAGTTCTTTGTTTCTACTGCTGAGTGCAACAAAAGGAGTCACTTATCTTTCTTTATTCCTATTTCTATGTGGAATGAAAACCGAAATGTATGCCAAATTGTACTTAAAGATGTGAAAGCTACAAAAAAAAAACGATAAAAGAAAACCCTTTCTTACAAAAGTGGTACAGAAATGCGGGTTTATCTGAAACCGATTCCTACAAATGATTCTTATGACCATCGAAATGTTATTAGGTTAACCAAACATACAGTTCGATATCCTACAGAGACGAATTCAGAGCTGTTACACTGTCCCTTGACGATGCCGAGGTATGCTAATGTCCCGTCCGGCTGACATTAATAATGTATGGCCGAACGAACTAGTCGGCGTCGGGCCAACACGCCACTACGAATTGCACTGCCGGCACTGTCGCATTTCCGTGCATAGGCTTATTGCGTATGAAATGGAAAAACTGACCACGATCAAAACTGGTGAAAGTACTAAAACCAAGTGGGTCAAACCAGTGAAACAGAAATTGGTCGCCGAAATGTATTGAAATGCAAGAAAACCGAATGATTGATTCCCTAATTATCATCTGTCTAAAATAACAGGAATAGAACGACTGAATTAATCCTACTGAATCGGTGTTTAATATTCACAAAGCTGCATCTCTGAGGAATCGTATTCTCTATTTAGTTCCAAGAAATATGAGCATTAAAAGGATTTGCGGTTGCGACGGTGTGAAGCAACGGTTATATTTCTGCGCCATGTTTTCATTTCCCCTAGAGAGTGATAGATGGGCGTTAGTTCCGAAAACTGTACTGATAAAATACCCTCAATCGAATACAACCATTTAGTTGGAATTTTTATAACCCAAGTTATGCCAATCGAATTATATCGTCAGCCAAAACATATTTTTTGAAAGAAGCTCTACCGTTGTCGGAATTTTTAATTAATTTTGTATTGCTAACGAAGTAGGGAGATAACATCTCGGAATAGCAAGGCTTCGCGAGTAACGAGCTGAATTATGGAAATGCGCTCCCCGGTAGGATATTATTTATGCGCGGCTTTTTCGTCCAGGAAATCACCTTTACGCATACAAGGGAGATTGCTCTACGCACACGGATCTCTTGATTAATGGCTAGGATTCCTGGTTGCTTCTCCGTTTTAATGAGCTTTTAATGACGTTGCAATAAATACCGCGAAATGCGGATATTAAGGCCTGTAATCAACTAATTACGCTGTGAGTCATTAAACTTAGAAAGGCCTATTCGAGACACTTCTCTTGGCTCTCGAATTAAGATGCCTATCTAAGTTCATATTATACATACGTAAAGGTGCTCATAAGATGAAATGATGTATTGATAAGGGGCAGGGCAAGCTAAGTGGGACCGACTGTCGATGTCGCTCCTTTAGCCTCAGTAATGGAATTGGAATTCGCTCTGGGACTTGTCTCTATTTGTTGGAGAGGTCCTTCACGATTGTAAGCCGTAACGTATTGGTGAGGTGCTATATTGTGGTATGTCTTATTTAATTTTGACTCATACTTTTACATTTGTAAGCTCATTAGAGGGACGAATGTAGGCTGATACGAGCACAGGTTTCCTTTTATTTGCCTTCTTAAGTGATTGTTGTGCTAAAATTGACCATTGTCATTGTTGACTTTAAAGGAAATTAGTTCGTTTAAACGTTTCAGCTAGAAGTGAGCTTGCTAGCTTCTTATTCTGCCGCCAAGCAGTAATGTGAGCGTTCCGGCTTTAAAGGGTAAGGATGCTGGTGAAACTACACGCATATGACGACTAGAGTCATTGGCGATAAAGAAATCTCATCACACCTTGAACTTCTACAACTGCGTAGAGATATTGCTTCGCTTAGCGCCTTTATCGGATGTACCATGGCGAATGCTCTGAAGAATTATTCAATCTATTCCACCCTCCCCTTTTCTGCTCCGAAGCACACGTGCCTTCGTAGTCACCACTTTACTACTTTCCGTATTCCATCGCGAACTAAAATGTTTGGTGGCACCTTTCACTGTCACCACGTCGACAATTGAAATCCCCTTCCAACGCACTTATTCCCTCCTTACGATATCCTCTTCAAACGAGGCGTGAAGAGGCATGCATGCATGTGGTTAGGGCAGTGATTGTATCAACACTGCACTAGGTTCCTTCAAGTTTGGATTCCACTTTCCATTTTACAACAGGTGGAGTCATCTGCCTGTCAGGTATAAAAAAATATGGGACTTGTCAACTTTATATATCTCAAGATGACCTCTCTTTACTATTAAAAGCTTTGAGTGGATCTGCAATTCTTATTAGTGTTATTAGTGCATGTCGGTTACCACTAGGCTCACGACTTGTTCGTCCAGTGCATTATGATATCATAAAAAAAATAATTACGAACATTGTTTAATCAAATCGACATATCTAGTCATCGGAATCCCCGAAACGGTGTAAGCCAATTGATTAGTGCTCACAATGCTCCAATGAGCATGTCACCCATTAATGCCTGTTGACGTTATATGCGATGCTAATCTCTTCCTACTATGGTTTGTCAGTTGAAAGCTTGAAGTTGTTAGTGGACTATGTTGTGAGACTGTTTGTTTTTATACATATTAATATTGCCAGATACA